CAGACAGAAGTTAAGCCTGAATCCGCAAGTGTTTATTACTCGTCGTTTCGAGTTAGCACTACCGGCGCTTTCAGTCATCTCCTCAGCCAGCTTAGCACATGATGCCTCTCGAGCTTTGTTTATGTGTGCACCCAGCTAGCATTCAATGACTCACCGCTGCAGACTTAGGCAAGAAGGTCTGCAGACGAAGCCGGCGTATCTTCCTGGACGTGGAATACGCATGGCTTCAAATTCGGAATACTCTTCAGCATGGCTTTTCATAAACATAATCATATACACATGAACGCCTGCTACTTCGTTTGTTTTCATACCACTGTTTGGCATATTATAGAAGACAGGGGCATTTTCGAAATTGCACTTATTACTGCGCGGAGTTCATCCTCCTGCCATACGTGCAAGATCAGCAAGTATCATCACAAAATCTTATAGAACGTCTAGCTGACTAAAACGATGCCCTTTGACTCGTTCAGCAGGGAAAGAGCATCCATCCGTGGATATGAGTCGCTGTAAATAGTTTATCCGATGGGGCTGCCTTGGTCGTTCTCACCGTTGCTGGCAATGAGACCGATGCTAACAGACCTCACATAAGAGTAATGCCTTGCTACTAACAAACTTCAATATCTATGATTCAGGCTAGTAGCACCAATATTATGCACGTCGTTCACGGAAGTTACTGGCTAATGATTTTTATGAATCTTTCGCAGTTAGTCCAGTTTCTTTCCGGTTGTGTAAGACTAGAAGAGCCTAGGCAGCAGAAAAGCCAGAATTATGTCTAGCCACGATGAATATATAAAAGATTAATATTTGATACTGTTCACTGTTGAGGCTACAGTCACACTTATTCCAGACAGATGTACCTCAGATAGTTGTTCTCATGGTTTGTATCGGTCACCAATGCGTCCACAACAGTGATCGGAAAAAAGCTCTGTTTTCTAGCTTCCATTCACTTGTAAGATCGTTTTGTCAAACTACATGCCATCGTCGTCTGTTTGACATTTCCAAAATTCTTTTGATAACTGTCTTGAGGAGATTTCTCATCCCATTGTTGCTCTTAATTTTTTTCAGACTGTAGAATAATACATTTTTTACTAATCTGCTCAGACATGAAATCCAATGTTTGATTCGTTATGTACCTTCTGAGCCATCGAAACCATTCCCATTTTGGTGACCCTCCATAGAAAGATAATTTCTCAAGCCCTCTTTACCATAGGGCGGAAAAGACGCTTTAACGATAAAAATAACAGAATCTGGAAGTGCTATGGATAAACGAAGGAGAGAATTTTTTGCACAACAGCTTAAAAAACAGTCTTTCCTCAAATATTTAGAATGTATCATACTCGTAACACCGTCACGAAGTGTACAAGCATTTTATTGTTTGCTTGTTGTGTTAATCTTAGTTGCCTATCAAATGAGTCAATGCAAATTGTAGTCTTAAATTGCTTCCATCAGGGAGTATGGTGGTATGCCATGACATGGCCACAATGGAACATAACACTGCACTAATTTTTCCAGAACCAAGAGCCTTCTACCCGCTTCTGGGCTGGCCACATCGAAGCACTGATGGATGAATTCATTGCTCAAGTGAATTAGC